CCCTCCCCCCACCCTCCCCCTACCCTCCATCTGCGATAGTGGGCGTGTCCTAACAATGATGTGTACGCAACTGCGTGTCTGCATATCTGCGCCTAACAAATGTGGTACTACGCACGACTGAAATTTTACGTTTATAATCGTAGCAACAGACCTCAGATGAGCCCAGACGCTCTGCGGCTCTTGTTAGATAGTACCAGGGTACGTTCCGGCAGTACCCCGGGAGACATATAGACCCTCTCAGCAATACGCATAGTCACTTAGTTAGTGTACAGTAGTCTGAGTAGTACTACTACTACTAGTGCCACACTCTCACAGACACTGTCAGTGACGGTGTAGTCAGTGTGGGCACCGTGTAGTCAATGTAGTGACTGACACTGTGTCAGTGATCATATATCCATAGTGGCCGGCCCATATGCACCATGCCGACCTTCATCCTTCCTGGCCTCATTGCAAACGGTTGTATTCTACCGTGGCATCGCCATATTATTTTGACAAAATGCTGGATGCAAATTAGCCCAGTGCCAGTGGAACTATATATTTCATGATAATGGCCTTTATATTCATCCTGTTAGTGTAAATTGTGCTCCATCCGAATTTCATGTATTTTACTTTCAGAACGTTTGGGTTGCATGGACTCGATATAGTGAAGGCTTCAATCAGTTAGCGAGAACTGATTATAGTAGGAGTTTGGTCAAATTAATTTACTGGCAAAATGGACCACCAGGTAATTTAGCTAACACAGCTACAATAGAAATCCGAAATAATATAAAAGACTATATATGTGCTGCGATATTTTGACTGATATATTATATAGGTATATATATATATATATAGACATATATATGTATGTTGATATATATATATATATATATATATATATCATGATATGTATATATATATACTCAATATATATATATATATATATTGATATGTATATATACATATATATATATGTTGAGTAATTGTCAAGAGTGACAGATCGATGTAACAATATAGATGTAGATATACGGACCATATGATATTTCCATTCAAGCAAATGTTGCTGAACAGCAGATCTCACGGCAGCAGAAGCAACTGTAACAACAGTGTAGCTACACATAGCACTACCTGTCAGATGAACGCTCTGTTATAGTAGTTGTACAGTTAGTGCACACTTCTTTGGCCTTACAGCATGTAACACCACAAACTCAGAAAACTACTAAGAAAAAGAACAAGAAGAAAAGCCCAAAAGGAGTGCAGCAGCAACAGCAGCAGTGTAGTGATAGCCAGGTGGTACATGACTCTGAATGCAGTGAACCTCAGGCTACACAAGGTCAGTATGTGACATCAAAGGAGCAGCCAGACCATGATATCATCAGGCAAGTGCCTGAACAACAACAGCCAGCTGCTAAAGGCAACAAGGACCAAAGCCAGTCTGCTGAGAATACTGGGCAATCGAACAAAAATCCGACAACACCACCCGCAGATGATCCAGCGAATAAGGAGGCTCTACAGCAGAGCAGAGCACAGAAGAAGCTTAGGAAACAACAGAGAAAAGGTGAGTTTTAGAAGAATTACAAGTAGCTTCCCGATAGTTATCACTTGTCCAGAATCACATTGATAGATGTCAAACTAGCTGTTTGATGATCCAAATGTCCTCAATATTCTAAACATATAGCAGGTGGAGGCCAGACGGAGGGAACACAGCAGCAGCAACTAGGTCAACAGCAACAGCACAACACTCAATCACATGGTCATGGAAAAAGTGACCATCATGCTAAGTCTCAAGGAAATCTGGTTGCAAACATAGATACACCAGTGGTGCAGAAGTCAAAGGTAGAACTAAAGGCTGAGAGGCGAGCGAAGCAGGCAAGTATAATATAATATGTATAATATATATATAAATATATGTATATATAATAAGTACATAATATGTAACATTGGTAGTGTAATAATATATTGGCACAATATGTTTCAGAATTCAAAGATTGAACAAGGCAGCATTTGCATTGAGTATATGTCATGTAAATATTTTCGTGAACAAAATAGTTGCATAGAACACTACTTTGATTAGATGATTAGATGCATTGATGAATATCAGGGGGGGGGGGACACTTTAATTTTGAACTTTTTCATGTGACTCTGAGTCTAGCCTTTTTTGTTTAAATATGTAACCTAATCTCAAATCCCTAAAAATTTGATGCCTTTTGTTTCTTTATTGGGATTGTTATGAATAATAGACAAAAACACGTGTTTTTGTCATTACATTACTTTTAGTTTCATTCTAAGTGAAGAACAGTAAAAGCAGCCTGTATAATGACATGTTGAAGACATTGCAGATGAGGTACTATCATCAGGAGTATCATAATATATATCATCATATGACACTCCTGGTACTATGACATACCGAGTATGATGTTATGTTAATGTAGTTGTCTTCAATTGGTTTCTTAACACAGGAAGCTCAGAGAGCTGCCAAATCAGCAGAACAAGGTAAAGGAGGAAAGAAGGGAGATGTTGGAATGTTGGCTGGAAGTGCTGCAGGTAATATGTGATTCACATTTCCGTACCAGTTGGTCTAGAGTTATTTGACAAATAACCTCCCATAATGTAGCAATTGAGAGAGTTCTTTTGTGTAGCATTTGTATGAGTTGTGGTTGTTTCCTTTTGTATGTGGGTTGATTCTGTAGAGTGATTTTGTGTCATGTCAAAATTCAAGAGTACTAGATATCAGCAGTTTAAACATATTACCTTTTTGCTTTGTGGTTAATGTGCCATCTTGTCGTACAGAATATACAATGTCATGTACTGTGATACGTTTGGCAATAAGCATAAGCTGGTAATGCATGCAGGAAGGAGTAACTCGGTTGTTGATATCTACAGTACCTAAACGAGTGCCAGATCAAGTGAGAGCAGATGAGGAAAAGGTGCAGAAGAAGCTGGCAAGGAAGTTGGAAAAACAGCAGGTTCCCCAGAGAATTTCTGCACAGAAGAAAGTCAAACTATTTATGCACCTTCACCAATATGAGAAAACCACCTCTCCCACTCAGGGCATTCTGTGAGTCGCATAGCTAGCAATGCATTGTGACTCATGTATATTGTCCAGTATACGTAAACATATTTGTGATATTTGGCCCTATTTGATGTAGCAGCATAACATCAGGTTGATTATATTTACATAAGAGCGTTTTTATGTCGTTTGCTCTCAGGCTATTGTGTGTGGCTAGAAATTTGCTAAATTGTAACTGTGCTAGACACAGCACAAGTACTTGTGTAATTGGCTTTGTGAACAAGTAATCATCAACAGTTTTTGAAAAAGCTTTTTTTTAATTCTATAAATCGTTAAAGTATAACATTTTACACATAGAATAATTTAAACATAATTTTGATGTAAATATATACTGGAAACTTGCATTAATGTTATCTTTCGAGTTGGAATTTAGTGCTTTATCTGCATATTTTATACATGCCAAATTCCATAACTGAGTTACATCATTTCAGATATATAGTTGCCAGATATCTGATTTGTTAGTTATATAATATCATAATAAATGTAGTACATTATAGTTAGAGTAGGATTCAGTAACGTCATATTTTGGTTTTAATTTTTGGATCTTGCAGGATAAATGGGTCTATGCATCCAGCTATGCTGCGCTTAGGATTACAGTATGCAGAAGGCTTCATTCAGGGATCTAATGCCAGATGCATTGCTTTGCTATATGCATTAAAACAGGTACATAGTTGTGCTGTAACCTTGTTGTAGATTGGATGATTCCTGTAGCACACGTAGCGGCATGATTGAAAGTATAAAATATTGATTTATCGTCACCTGTGGATGGCGGTATTGTGTGTTTACGGTTTACCCAATCGCTTTTGGATGCAGTGATTGTGTACTCCTTATGATCGTGCATTTTATGCTTCAGGTGTTTTCTGACTATAGTACCCCACCTCACAAGGAGCTGGCAAGAGAATTAGATGCAAAAATTAAGCCATATATCACGTATGTAACTAGTTTTAATGTTCAACATTTTAATAATGTACTATCTCAAATTATATTATGATGTAGCACGCGTAATGAAATCGAGTTCTGATAGAACTACTTTTTACTTCTTTATTTCATGTTTTTTATCTGTAGCTTTTTGAATCAATGTCGCCCTCTATCTGTGAGCATGGGCAATGCTATCAAGTACTTGAAGATGCTCATCACAAATATGCCACCGGAATTAAGTGATGATGAGGTGAGTTAATGAACTACAGAATTGTCTGCAATTATTTTCACGTGATTTGCATCATGGGTTATAGCTATCTTTCTATGTTTTTCTATTTTATTTTACTAGATCAGTAAATGCAGCTTTTAATATCCTTGTTTGTAGGCAAAAAAGAAACTGAATAAAGCGATAGACACATATTACTTGGAAAAGATCCAGCTAGCAGGAACGGCAATATCTAATTTTGCCATCCAGAAGATAACTGACGGCGATGTGATACTAGTTTACGCCTGGTGTGCTGTTCATTTCCCATTGTTTCTCTTTTTTGTCCATATGTGCTTGTCTGTCTCTTTTGTTTTGTAAATTTCATTTTTATCTTTTTTATATTTCTTGTTTTACACTTTCTTATTTTATTTTATCTTTTAGTTCTCCTCTCAATATTTTTACATCTTACCAGCAGCTGCATTCATTATGCTCTCCACCACATAGCCAACCCTCCTGTTGTTGTGCATTTTAGTGTACAGCAGATTATTAGTTATTTCCTATTCCTATTATATTCAACCGTAATTACCCCCAAGTAATGGTATCCTCATAGTTTCCGCACACTGACCGAGTTACATTAGTCAGGCTTTAAATGTTTTGTCCAAGCCAGCTAGGTCACTTCATCCAAGCATATATATTTACACATATTCCAGTTCCACGTTGTTTGCTAAAACTTCATCATGGCGTGCATTTCAGTTCGTCGTTGATTCAGAAGGTTCTGTGTGCAGCAAAGGACAAGAACAAGAGGTTCCAAGTGATCGTCGTAGACTCCCGCCCAAAACTGGAGGGGAAAGAGATGCTGCGTAGGCTGGTGAAGCATGGCATTACCTGCAGCTACGTCCTCATCAATGCCATCTCATACATCATGCCAGAGGTGCGCACATGTTCCATTACTCAGAAATCGTCTTGAATAGCTTCATTGTCTAAGTGAAGTTAGGCCTCATGTTAGAGTGAAAGCCAGAGCATTTTTGTGCAACGTGGATTTTTGCGTGGTAAACCCACGGTGCCACGGCGTTGAATCAATGCTTGCTCTTTGTGAGCCTTACGTGAGCTTGAATCATGCATATAAACATAACTCGTTCAACATAAACAAAACTCAAACACAAACATAAATATAAACAAATGTTCAACTCAAACTTAAACGTAAACATAACATCAGGAGTGAATAATAATAGATTATCTACATCTCTGTCCGTCAACAGTTGGGCACAAATCTTAACCGCTCGACATACGGTCACGATATTCGGGACGTGAGTGGGTAATCCGAAAACGAGTTCGGATTTCGAAGCTGGGGGTCAAAGGTCAAAGGTCAAGAGGTGTAAAAGAAGGGGGACCATTCCCTCCTTAACTTGACGTATAGGGAGGAAATGCAGAATTGCGGCACAAATCTAAACGGCTCGACCTAGGCTCGTGATAGTTGGTGTATAGCATCATGGTAGGAAAAGCCATCACTGTGCTGAAATTGGAGGTCACAGGTCAAAGGTCAAGGGGCACAGGGCGGATTTTACACATTTTCTGAGGACATGGTCTGACGGAGCGATTGAAAAACTTTTTTGTTTCAGTGGTGACCTACCATTTTTATGGCTTTATTGAAAGGAACATGAAATGTACTTTCCGCTGACATGCGAAGAGTAAGTGTCGGATAACCTTTTGACCCTCAAGAGGAGGGTTAAACATGGATTTGTTTACTGTTAATCTTGTTACTGTTGATCTGTTAAAGAATTTGACTGCCGGGTTTGCTAGTAGAATCTATACATGCCTGGATGTATGAGGCTACAATGTCACAGTGAAATTTCAAAGCAAATTTTGGGTTGAAGGTTTGATTGCTCCTTAAATCATATAATTTTCTATGCATCTGTTACGTCAGTGTGTTTGAGCATGTAACTTATGCTACTGCCAGTGGCCTCCATGCCAAGTCATGTGTGGTGATAGTACTGTGTAGTTTTGCCGTGCGTTAATTAGTAACAGGTGGCGAGCTCTACTCTATGCGCAGCCCTGTAGGAGCTTGCGTAGTAATGGTGAGTTTGCTTAACCTATTTCTTCTTGCAAATTATTGTGTGCTACTACGTACGATGGAGCTTCCATCTTTAACTTCTTAAGAACCTTAAACGTACACGCCATCTCGTGGCAACTTTCATAACGATCCCAACGAACATTCCTTGAGAAGGTACCTGATACCATCCCTTGTGCCTTCCACTGTTTCGGCACGTATGTGAACCCACAATTTGGGACTAACAGGGTTTATTAGAATCCCACCACTCCACCACAGAGTCACCGCAGTAGACGTGAGATGAGCGCTGTCGCTCCGCGGCACTTGTTCACTAATGATAACATGGATTCGTTCTGTCCGCTGCAGGTGTCAAAAGTTATACTAGGGGCGCACGCCTTGCTGGCTAATGGCTATGTGATGTCTCGATGTGGAAGCTCACAGATTACACTGATGGCCAAGTCCTACAATGTACCGGTGCTTGTATGCTGCGAGACGTACAAATTCTGCGAACGGGTGCAAACGGATTCGTTCGTTTCCAATGAACTGGGTATGTAATTTCACCCGAGCGAACTCCGTGCTATGACAATGTCTCGTATTAATTACAGACGTTCATAAGTCTGAAGTGTCATAACCTTTGAGGTGATGTAGCATTTAGGTACGTTTTGGTAGCATTTTCATATTCCAAATTATAGTGTATATATATACACTCTGGTGTAACAAAAGAGTTACAATGAAATGCCATGCAAAAGTTATGACATTTCAGACTTTCGGACTTCACGATAGTCATAACTACGTATGTTTCTGACAAAGGATCCCAGGCTTGTAATCCATGTGAGAAATTAATTAACAGTTCTGATAAAGCTAAGTGTGCAGTATCATATAACAAATTACAGTGGACCCCCCGAGATACGAATTTAATTCGTTCCACAGATTTGTTCGTGTCTCGAAAAATTAGTATCTTGAACCCTATAGGACGTACAGAAATTTACATACAGCAAGAGCACAACCACATTCAATGAGTCACGTACTTAAACTGACTCAGCGAAAGAGTGTGCGCTAGGCCTATACCCTGATTGGCTGATTCGTAAGACGTTCGTATATTGAATTTTATTCGTTTGTTGAATACATTACTTTCAACCGGAGGTCGTTCGTATCTCGAAAATTCGTATGTCGAGCCGTTCGATTTCGGGGGTCCACTGTATATACAATGAAGATCAACTTTTCATGATCTCAGCTCATGATCATCTTCGAATGACCAGAATGGATTTCACGCAGTTCTACAAACTTCATAAACATGTAGTATCTGAATATATGGTTTTGTTTATGCATAGGTGACCCTGATGATCTAGTGAGGATCGATTACAACAAAGCACCCTTGGCAGACTGGCGAGAAAAGAAATATCTCAGCTTGCTAAATCTCGTCTACGATGTGACACCACCCGATTTTGTCAATGTCGTCATTACAGAAGTGGGAATGATACCCTGCACATCAGTACCAGTTGTACTCCGAGTTAAGAATGTCGAAGCTAACTAGGACGGTCAGGGTGAAAGTAATGAGAGTATGTAAAGTAAGTAACTAGTATATCATGCCAGCCTTACTCAAGTCTAAGAAATGTGGTTTACTTGGTGATCATGTCATTAGTCGCAGATGGTTTAAACTGATGTGAAATTAAAGGATTTGTTTCAGCTGCTTCTTATCATCTTTGATTACAACAGTTGGAAGCTAAAAAATTGTCTGTTTATAATAATGGTGTTTTTAATATTAAAGCAGTAACATACACAGCAGCTGAGTCTACATAGAACTCATTTGTACATATAACTTTTAGGTTGAAAATACATTTAGTGACTCATAGAGGTATCTCACCAACATATATTGATAAACTAAAGTAAAAGAAGTTGTGGGGAAGAATTCAATTTTATTTCACTCTTCAATTATACACTATAATTTACCTGTATTTTTTATCTACCCACCTGGTTGCATTTTAAAAACATATGCTATAGCCGTTTCTATAACATGTCCAATACGTAATGACATGATTTTCACATTTTAGGTTCAGTACAATGTCCGTTTGTCTGGTATTGTTATTACATCAACCTACTTGTAATCAAAGAAACAGAAAAGAATGAGAAGAGTAGCTCATGATTATTAACAACATAGTAATTACACTGCCTATTAAAATCATTAGAAAAATTAACTAAAGTTGATTTAGACTCAATGCAAATTTTAAACTAGTTTTAAAGAAACATATAAAATTTTGTACTAGCAAGTATGAACTCTAGGAATTCTGTTGCAAGAATTACTTGTACTTATTAAAATCAATTGCGGAAACCGTTTATGTTAATTCAAGAACACGTAACCACAATTCCAGAACACCGTGCCACAAGTTATCACTATGCCATCAAGGTACCTATATTTCACCATTGTTAAATGAATGCCACCTTGTCTTTGCTCGTACATGCATCAAAGCTCTCCCTGATCTTCTTAAAGACTTCGCTAGGGTGCTTGGAGGCATCCACCCACATGTGTAGGCTGCGCTTTTGGTAGTAACTCACAAGTGGCTTCGTCTGGTCGTGGTAAGACCGCAGTCTTGCAGAGAGCGCTTTCTCATTGTCATCAGATCTCTTGATGAGCGGCTCTCCAGTTACCTGTAACAAACACGAAAAAAATATTAGCGGTGAAATAGAATAAAGTATATCTACAGGCTCATAGGTGGTTGTGCACTCAGGATGCCCTCTTGATACAGCATTGGTTTATCGCTGGTGTAACTTGCCCATTAGCAGATACCTAATTGTACAGTCTGCTGACTGGAAAAAAATGAGATTAAAGTATCTTGCCGAAAGGATACAATATTTACTAAGTATTAACTCAGTATTACCACAGACTAACTGATACACAGACTGGACACTTTGTATATCCTGCTTGTTAAGCGTTTCGATGGTGCTGCCCCTGGCGAATGAAGCGGTCAACTACTCAAATTGGCATCAGCTGGCAGTTATTGCAGTGCAGGAAATTGTTCCAATACAAGGAAGAAACCCCCGATATAGCGTTTTTATAGGTATAAGTTTCCCACAGATCATGATAAGGTACTACGATTTATCACGCTGTTGCATGCTATATACGTTTGCAAACAATAAATTCGTTAGGACGGCAGTGACAGATGCAGTGACTCACTAACTGCTGTGCACACGAACAGAGACTGTACTTATTGATTGTTTAATCATATGTAATCATAATATCAATGTAAACTAATACAAGATACAATCTTGTGAAGCTAACAGTTAAAAGTTAGGGAAAACACTACTTGGTTCGGTTATCTGTGTAATTCTGCTGCCCTTTGTTCTGTGGAAAATACCAGTTAAAACTATATGCAATTTGTAAATAATACACCACTCACATTACATGACACATGTAGATGATCATGTACATAGACTTCGGAAGTGGATCTGCAACATAGGAAAAGCCGACATTGACGGGTTAAAAGACAGCCAATGCAAATATCTGCTAATTTGCGAGGATCATTTTGTCTTTATGAGGCATCTCAATTTATGTGTTCCAGCTGACAAGGGTAAAAATCACACTGGCTGCTTTGAAATGTGATATCGCTGTACCTATTTAAAAATATAACTATTATTAGTATGAGAAATTAGTAAAAAACATTGCTTTCTCTGCTTCTTGTCGTGTGACTATTGGGTCGTTATACATGTACCAGGCTTGATTTCAAGAAATATATACATATAAACAGAAAAATACGTTTGAGAAATATTCACTGCTGGGCACTGCAGTATATCATTATTGTTTATGGCAATATCAAAACTAAACCAACACATGCTGAATAATTTTGCCAACTGTCTGTATTTTACCTTATTTTCCATAATTCCTTCACCCGATCCCTTCCACCTTTATTAAACAAGAGCCGCAGAGCGTCTGGGCTCATCTGAGGTCTGTTGCTAGCGTTATAACGTAACATTTAAGTCGTGCATAGTGACACCTTTGTTAGGCGCAGATATGCAGATATGCAGTTGCGTACACATCATTTCAGCAACCTTCTGCATTTTGCATACCTCCCAAATCCCATTGGTTGATACAAATCGCGTGCCTGAAACTCCTGTTTTATGGTGCATTGTGACCCTAACCCTAACCCTATTATAATAAAAAAAATTGTTGTTATTAAATTGTTGTAAATAAATCATGTAAATATTTGCATTAATTGGAAAAAAATAATTAAATTGGAATAAAGATAGAAAAATACAGAAAACAGGTAAATAATAAAAATCTGATGGGATTCGATCCATGGACCTTTGCAGCCGTGACGGCCTGTGCTGTAACCGTTCGGCATCCAGGCTATTGGCTTTATGGATTAATGATGTGCCATGAACACTGACATCATTGAGGCAGTTCAGGAACCCATGTTTAACCCTCCTCTTGAGGGATAAAAGGTTATCACACACTTACTCTTCGCACGTCAGTGGAAAGCCCATTTCTGGTCCTTTCAATAAAGTGATAAAATGGTAGGTCAGCGCGCTGAAACAAAAAAGTTTTTCACTCTGTCCATTAGCCATGTCCTCAGAAAATGTCTGATATCTGATCTTTCCCCACTGCCCTTTGACCTCAGTGTGACCTCCAATTTCGCACTGGTGATGGGTTTCCTGCCCATCACACTATACACCGAATATTAAGAGCATATGTCGAGCATAGGTTTGTTCCGCAATTCCGTATTTCCTCCTATACCTTAAGTTAAGGGGGAAATATTCCCCCTTCTGTTTACACATCTTGACCTTTGACCCTTGACCCCCAAATTTGTCATCCCGAGTCCTTTTCACGATCCGCCCGACGTCCCGAATATCGTGACCGTACATCGAGCGGTTAAGATTTGTGCCCAACTGTTGACGCACGCACATGACGCACGGACAATCCTATGCGATTCTACAAGTGCATCCGACTACGTCAGACGAGCTAAAAAACAAGGGCAAGTCAAAAAATTTAAGGGCTAAGAAAGGATGCAGTTCCATCTCTGATAGAAGTCAGTAACCCTCCTGCACTCCCAACCTAGAAACAAGCAGAATCGTACATTGCTGAAGCTCTAGCACTTGTGATTAAACTTCTTAGCAATAAACGTGACTAATATACTGGTATTTGAGTAAAAAATATGGAAATTATATCGTCTTTATTATTTTTATTGTTTGTAGAAAAACAATCTCACAAAATCCGGTCACAGACTAAGGATATAAATTAAAACTACAGGACTGTAGCACATTATGCATTGTGATGTATTGTGTGTATTCATTGTGCATTAGTCAGTGATACGGTGTGGATGATCGTTTGCATGTAAAATAAATGTATAGCCGTTTAATAGAGCAAAATCTACTTGAAGACTAACATTTGACCTTCTAGATTCAGGAATGTATAATTAAACTCCAGTCCAAATATTAGAATTAACGATAGAGACGTTTTTAATGTTACAACGTTACACATCCACAATCTGTCACCACAGCCAGATTTTTAGTGTACCGCTTCATTCGCTGGGCGGCACCACCATTCAATTGCATTACACTATTTTGGCGTTTCGTCCAGTCTGTGTATCCATTAGTCTGTGGTATTACTATTGTATGCTATATCAATTCTGTATTAGTATAACTTGATATTTCCTACAGCATTGACATGTTATGGCAGGTATAATTTATTAATGAACAACAATATGCTACTAGCACTATGAACAAGACTGTCCCAATACAATGACCAAATCGCTGCTAGCAATGTTTGTGAATAATAATAATCACTAAGCATCACGTCGACGTATAGTACACCAGGAGATAGTGGATCGATGGCGAGCCCCACGGCAACCCTGCTTTCTTAAGGCCTAGCGCAGGACATGCGATTTTTGGTATGCTCGTCGCGTGCAACCTGCACGCGCAAGCGATCGCGTCGATGTGCTCACCTCGTCGTGCGCACACATGCGATTTCAAGCAATTCTATAACAATTTGGGAGCGCAACCAGGGAGGCAACGAATCACTCACCTCCAATCAACATGTTTGATTTCTTAATTGCAACTCATCGCAACGACCGAATGCTACAGGTGCAGTTGCACGTTCCGGCCCAAACGTAGCGATTACAAGCAATTTTTTACAGCGATTTCTAGAACGCTGCCGGTATGAAAAGTCACAGTGTCTGCCCCGCTAAACTTTATACTCCACATCTCGATCTGTGCTGCTTGGCGTGGTTAACTCCATCGCTGATGCTTCTGCGCTGTTGTCGGATGAGGCGACCGAGTGAATGCGGCGCCAGAGCAGCGAAATCATTCGATGTGCGATCCATCACAGCATCCAGCTGCTGACTTCTTGTGATGCAGAGCTCATACCAGCTGGCAACCATGAGATGTTACAGCGCGCACAGTTTCGCAGGTGAGATGTAATCGCAGGAGAATAGGCAGGTTATGAAACCATGAGATGTTACAGCGCGCACAGTTTCGCAGAAGGTGCGATGTAATCGCAGGAGAATTGGCAGGTTATGAAACCATTAGACGTTACAGCGCGCACAATTTCACAGGAGGTGCGATGTAATCACAGGAGAATAGGCAGGTTATGAAACCAGGAGGCAGTACAGTGTGCCCATGCAGTTTCACAGAAGGTGCGATGTAATCGCATGAGAATTGGCAGGTTATGAAACCATGACACGTTACAGCGCACACAGTTTTCCAGAAGGTGTGATGTAATCGCAGGAGAATCGGCAGGTTATGAAACGACCAAACGATGGTGGTAGAATAGCAAAGGATCTACTAATAATCGAAAGCCAAGCGCACACGTGAGTAATTTTACTCAAGTAAAATGATGCATGCGTCAAAATACTCACGTGTGCGGCGGATTTTAGCGTGTCATTAACTTAGCATGAATGCCAAATGCATATTGACTGTCGAGTTTTGTCTTGTATGTAACAGTATATATGTTTGGCACCATGACTGCAACACTTATGGTACAATTTCTTTCTGGCAACAACGGAAGTAAAAGAAGAAAGAGACGAGAGAAGGAATTAGAAAGAAAAGGGAGACGGCAGAATTGTAAACTTGTGCTCCCTTGCAACAATGTGAAGCAGAATGTTACAGTGGAGTTGCATCCTTACTTGTGCTCCACCAGCTTTAAAAGGGATACATTACTCTAGGTTCTCTGGATATTTTCAGTTAAAATATAGGTTAAAATAACGCTGCATAAAAATGTTCTATGATTCAATATTCATTAGAAATATTTTTTAAATACGTTTTAAAACTGACGGCTATAGTGTTGCTTACAACGACAGTAGCGCCACTGGGAGCGCATATCCACTGAAAAAGTTGGGCAAGGCAACGTTTCAGCTGCAAGCTACAGACCGAGGGTGTTTCTTATTTATTTACAATTTTTAGGATTGCAATATCTTATAAACGACACTTAGTTTCAGTTCGTTCATAATATGGATGAATTTGTCCTAAAATAAAAATTGTTCGGTTAAATAGCAGTTAGGTATTATAAATATAATTGCACTTGCGATTATCCCTCGGTCTGTAACCTGCAAAATAAATTGCCAGATGCGCAACATTTCCAGGGTGGCAGCACAATCGCATGGTGTCATGTCAGCGGTCAAAGTAAAAGATTTCGAAATTTACTGCTGTTTTATGAC